TTTCTTGTGCTTCAGGTCAGAACACAGCTCATTCCCTTTGAAATACTGGAAGAAAATCAAAATAATACATCTTTAAACACGAATAATTTACCATCATTGAGAAAATTTAATAAAACCAGTGAATACAAATAAAAAAGTGACACACTTGGTAGTCTGCTTTTTATTTTGATAGCACTCTATACAGATAAACTCCACAACAAACAATAACAAATGTAACTGATAATCCTTTATGGATCCAGTAAAACTTACAGTTACAGTGGTAAAATATTATGCACTGATACAGTGCACAGTAAAAGTGATATGTAATATTAAAAAGTATATGTAGTACAAGTTGTAGTAAAGTGAATAATATAAAAAGCGAGTACAACAGTATATAATAGAATAAATTATATGTATAATAATAATACCAAAATAAATAAATGAATAACAATAGATGAATAGCAAGTAGAATATGTTATATCAAGGGTGGAATAATACAGAATAGACAATAATGAAGAATAAATTAATAGTAAATTATAAAGTAAAATAAATAATCATGAAATGTAGTTTTATAATAGTATTGTGTAATAATTATTAAACAAAGTAAGAAACAAGAAAGGGGGGAGAGAGAGTGTGTGGTTTGAATATGACCAGGGTAATTCTGGCCATTCATTCAGGGCTATTCTGGGTTGTAACAAGTACTAATACAACATTAGGCTGTGGAAGTATAGCCTACTCTCTTGGAAATGCAGAGAACAGGCTTTCTTCAGCTTTCCTTAAGGCTTGCGTTGTCCTGTTTGCAATTGGCTAAAAAGGAAAAAATATATATATAATAAGTCCACAGATTTATGATAAGCTATGAAATCCTTATAATCAAGTGATGATAAACTTACTCTTTGTAAATAAGTAACTTTAGTGAAATTAAAGAGATGATTTAGCTCCATCCCTAATCCTGACAGTCTGGCATTGTCTTGTCAAAGTGCTCACTGTAATGTGCTCATAACACAATTTACTTCATGATATAAACTACAATATATAAGTTAAAACTTAAGAATTCATTTAAACTTTGATTTCATATAAAGTCTCAGCTTTCACAGCTTACTAGCGATATCGCTAGCTATTAATAGTCTGACACTGGTGGCTAATTAAGCTGTCAACATAAAGCTAAAAATGACCAAAAAACATACAGAAACAACTGTTCAGTCTTACCTGTGAAAGTTAATACCCCGAGATCTGTTTTTATTATTGTGCGACGGTTTGTAGATGCCCAAGCTGCCGACGAGTCAGGTATGTTTCGCCTGTCCCGATATGAGAGATGCCTTCACCAATATGGCGGCGACGTTGACGTGCGGTCGAGCGGTCGAGCGGCCAATGAGGAGTCTAGGTATTTATTATGTCTATGGTCGGAACGCCATACCTAAAGCCAAACTCCGACACAGAATAAACGTCTCCGCCTAACGTAACGTTACTCCGACTGTTCAGTCATTTGTGTAACGTTAAATGCTTCCGAAACTAATTTTTTTCTTATGTTTAAAGACATATTTCATATTATCTCAAAGGATAATTAAGGAAAACAGTCAAATAACTGTATTAGTTGTAGCCTATACAAGCAGTTTAAGGCATATTGGGCACATAATCCAAATTACAAATAAATTACAGCCGTAAAACCAAATTAATCCATAACTAAATCACTCACATGCTTAATGCTGAGTGGAAACGTTAAAACAAAAGTATATTACTTAAAGTGTCGATAAAGAAAACGAAAAATGTGGCGCAAAATCGTTAACGTTAGCGTTTTAGCTTCAAGGCTAAATGCAGGAGTACTTATGAACCAGCTAATACAGCAAACATTTTGCTTTATCATCGCATATTTGGTGACATTTCAAGCATTCGGCAATTAATCTGATCATATGTGATTTAATGCTTACCTTTACAGTGACTTTGGGTTGATAGCGATGCAGAAAATGCAGTCCTGTCACCCCTTGAACCGAAATGGCCTCAGTTAGAATCGCATCTTCAGCAGCAGCCTAATCCCCGTTAGTCTTTTAAGTACATTTTACTTAAATAGATCTCGAAAAGGCACACATCTAAAAAGCCTCATAAAGATTACTCTGTATTATACATACAACATTTAATTGTAAAAAAAAAACAAGTGCTAGCAACAAATTGATATTTAGTACATTAGGCCTACTCAAATTTTCAAAGTAAAGTAGGCTACCATACATAGTATTATTAGTTGAAAATGTTGATTTTTTTTGTTGTTGTTACAATTACAACTCCACTGAGTCATTTTTCTCAGTGTAACATCGTAAGGCACACCATACTGACATACAAAAAAAAGTTTTGAAATTTAATGGACTCATGACTAGCCTATAACAAATATATAAATCAGGACAGCGCTAGTAACTATTTTGATGATGAGCATAGGCCTACGTGTCCCATATATCTTCTTATTTTTGTATTTGAAAGCACACTTTGGAATACTCTCCCAAAATCTAAGAAATATAGTAGGCTAAAGGAGGGTTTAGGCTACATTTCTTCCATTTACATGTGTAAATGTGATATTTACCCACCAAAATGACCATATTTAGTCAGAAAACAGGAAATTCAATATGTTCTTACAAACAGGGTATTTTCTATTACTAAAAGATAAATATATTTTTTCACTGAAAGCTAACTGAAAACATCCACCCAAAATGTAGAGGTAAAAACGCAGCAGTAAAAGAGTGTTCAAGAGTTCCAGGAAAGGAAGAACAAACTGAAATCTCTTCTGTATAAATTCCCATGTGAGTATAAACAGGAATTTTTAACGTCTCTTTAAACTTTGGAGCAACAGGGTCAGTGTCAGAAACCTCAACATCGCCAAAGCACTGAAAATCACCAACATGCTTAAAAACTCTTCTTCATAAATAATTATACTGAAAGTAAGCAATTTACTTTTTTTTTAAATCAATTTCGGATCATTGAATTAAAGTATTTAATTTCTTAAAATCTTAATGACCCCAAACATCTGAATGGTAGCCGATTGTAAATATAATAATAGTCCTCATTATAAACACAAAATTATAATCAACTTTAATATTCAGTGAAGACGATTAGACTAGCCTACATTTAATTTAATGAGGGGCGGTAATGGACCTGGATAATGGGTAGGGGGGCGCTGGCCCAAAATAGGTTGAGAACCACTGTTATAAGGGGTCTGACCACGTCTAATATGGTTTTGACAAGAATATCTGCCTTTTCACCATCAAACACGCTCACGCGGTTTCAGTGAATGTGATTAATAGTGAAACGGGGGCCGGTTTAAGGCTTATGGTGACTAATGGATCTTAAGCAGATGGAAGGGTATAAATGCTCTTAGTGCGTCTCTCCGTGATTCACTTTCGACACAGCTATTGGAAATCAAACACGTGTGAAGGACATTTGAATATTAGTAATTCATGTATTTAAATCACCAAAGAGAATTTAAAACAGCGAAAATGTCAGAAGTTATCGCACTGCCTTTCCTGAAGCCCATCCACATGAGAGCTCCGATCTCCCCCGGCCGCCAGCGCCGGCACACGCTCCCCGCCAGCGAGTTCCGCTCGCTCAACACTGAGGACGCCATCAGTGTATTCGAAATAGAGAGAGAGGGTGAGATAAATCATTCTTTTTCATTTTGTGGATCTTCTTATACAGTAGCCTAGTTATTTGTGAGTATGAAACAATTACCCAAGAGAAAAATAGTAACGACTTATTTGTTTAGTGTTGAATGTGTTAAAATTTGAATTTAAAAAACTGCATTTGGTTAGGCTACTATGTGACGGGTGTGTTTTTGTTTTCTAAAAGCTATTTTCTCGTTTTATCTCTCAGCTTTTATATCTGTGTCTGGGGAATGTCCTCTTCACCTGGATGAGGTCCGGCACTTCCTAACCCTCTGTCCTGAGTTTTCTTTGGGCTGGTTTGAACAGGGGAGGCTTGTCGCTTTTATCATTGGATCGCTCTGGGACCAGGACCGTCTAACCACTGTAATCTAATCTTCTAATCATGTATTCATTATTGACAGAAACGAATGATTAAAAAGTGATATGCCTGTATTATTATATTTGAATTTTTAACGTGTAAAGACGTGTAGTTAAGTTTCTTATAATTACATAACTCATTATATTTAAATTTTTAACATGTAAAGACGTGTAAAGTTTCTTACAATTACATAACTCATTTCAGTTATCTCTTTTAATAGGATGCATTAACCCTTCATAAGCCTCATGGGACTACTGTCCACATCCATGTGCTGGGAGTCCACCGGACCTTCCGCCAGCAGGGAAAAGGATCTATCTTGCTGTGGCGTTACCTGCAGTATCTGCGCTGTCTACCATATGTCCGCCGCGCCGTGCTCATGTGTGAGGACTTCCTGGTGCCTTTCTACCAGAAGTCTGGCTTTAAGGGGCAAGGTCCTTCTGAAATCACCGTAGGGCCACTTACCTTCATCGAGATGTATTATCCTATAAGGGGACATGCATTCATGCGCCGTAACAGTGGCTGTTAAGGGATCACTAGTCATGTAGCTCTTTGGACCTTCAAAAGAAGCAGTGGCTGTGTTGAAGCAGCTTTTGGTTTTGGTCTAGATATCTTGTGGTGTAGTGCTGTTTGCGTCTACTTTTGTAAGCCTTGGTGAGCATAGCAAAAAAAAATGTTAGATGTCAAAAATGTTTGGACAGAGCAAACTGTATCCCACTCTCTTATCTAAAAGTGATGGCTAAAACTATATTTTTTCTTATATATATATATATATATATATTCATGTCAAACTTAGGATTTTTTTTTTGCCTCAAAGTCAGGTTATCCAATAGACTAGGTTTATATTTATTGTTGTTTATTTTCTATTATATTTGGCATCTATTTCTCTAGATTTCTTTTTTTTTTTTTTTATTACTCATGCACATTTTTAAATTCATGACAGATCTCCTGTTGTGTTGTGAGTTTGGGGGTCAAGGCTGTAAAGATAAGGTAGTGGTTCAACAGTTAACCGTTCTACTTTGGGCTAGTTTTTGTGTTCAGTGGCTGCTTTAGATGTGTGTCTATTATATGGAAGCATTAAAATAGCATCAACTGAACACTTTTCCACTGTGATTTCTCATGAAAACAGCCACAAGAGAACATACAGTGTTGTCTGTTATGTCTGTGAGTGCCAATGTGACAAATGTTTAATATACAATCCCATAAACATGAGAAACTTGTATTGTGTTGATTAGGTATTAGTACAATTTGATTTATAGATTAGAATTACTTGTTTACTTGCTTCATAGCAAAGGATTGAAGAGTTAATGTTCGATGTGCAGAGGTGTTGCAAAACAGAAATCATTACGAAATGTATGAGATGGTTAAGACTGTTTCCATTTGCCTTTCCCTGTAGAAATCCACCACCTATGCCTTCACAGTCTTGAATCAAGACATCTATGATTTTTTTTTACATTTTGAAAAGAAAATAAAGAAATAAAGAATCTATTTTTCAGAATGATTGCTCTTTGAACTCTTTGTGTAAATGTCTGTAGTGTTCACAGGGTAATGATTCTGGATTAACAATGAATTTATTTGTTAAATAAGGCACAGAGAATTAGTCACATTAAAAAAAAAAACTTTTATTTTTTTTAAACAAAAAAAAGTGTGAAGGACATCAATATAAAGACATTTGTTTTACAAACATTTTTTATTTTAAACTATTTTTATTAGTATTACTCGAAGCACTAGTTATTTGGTTCACCTCCAATCATATTTGTACACCTTCAACACCTTTAAATATAACAAAAATATTCCAGATTGTCAGATTCAAGAGAACTCCTGTAGTCTTTTAAGGCACAAGTGCTGTACTCCGTAAACAATTATGCACTGAATATCAATTAGAACAACAGCTGAATTTGACTTTGATACTACAATAAAAGAAGACCACAAATCCATTCTGTGCCAAGTGAATACACACGATTTAATGCATGCAGTGTACATATTAACATTAATAGCTGGTTGTAAACAAACTCCTCTGTTGAGTGCAAAACAGGATCTCTATTCTGAGCAAAAAAAAGATAAGATAAAAAGAATGATAAATTAAATGACATATGAAATGTGAAATGCACTGAGAAGTGAAATGACTAACAGTGCCTACTATTCAGGAAATTACTGCCATATCTATTTAATTTCTTTTTTAGTTGTCTGAGGACATGCTTGTAATCCAGAAAAAGAAGAATGGTAATATACACTAGTGTGTTCATTAATGTGGAACTAGATTTTACTAGCCTAGCCAGAGGTTTATAGCTGTCTACAGAAGTACAAATAGTGACCTAAGGATAAAGTATTCTTTTGAATGTCACTGAAGTTTCAACAAAAAACTTCATAATTCATAGCCAGTTCAGTGAAATAACTCTAAAAGATTCTTATTTTATATGAACCTTATGTAGTTCAATGAAATGCTCTTTGGACAAATACAAACAGCTGAAGTACCAGGAAATTAATCTTTATGTGAATGGTATTTTATATTTCAATGATTGTTGGTGTGAAGTTAACAGTAATAATTTAACAAGCATGTCTTTAAAAGTGTAAGCACATATGAAAAGACAGTATAAAGCTCACTGTTTCCACAAACAATAATTTTGGAAGGACATTTGGTGTTAAGACATTTTAAGCTAAAGGGACATAGTACAGGCTTCAGTAACAACACATAGTTTACCTGCAAATTATCCGGAAATGTTCAGAACTGCTTTGGGAATAAATGGACTATTGTACATTCTACTGGTTACAAAGGTGCTAAACCTCAAAAGCATGACATTATTTGCTGTTTTACTGAGTGTTGATGATTTAACTCAGTCCCTTGCAGTCCTTCGAAAATTCTTTAGTCTACAAAAAACAAGGTTAGTGTACCACATGATCAATGTCATAGCGTTCACAGAACTTGCTGGTAAAAGGCAAGCAGGTAAGATGCTCTAACCAATGCCAGTTTATAGGGTAAATGTAGAACCAGACAATAAGTGAAGACATCAACCCAACATAGACAAGCAGCGACAACAAAATAAGAGCTCGTTTGCGGTACTTGTCTAAGGTGCCAAACGTGACATATGGAAGGAATGTAAAGGACAGGAGAAGACCACTGAGGAAGCCAAAGATGTGAGCAATGTTGTCAATCCAGGGCAGAAGACCACAGAAGAAAAGGAAGAGAACAATGCCTAACAGCTTCAGGAAGGCCTTCCATGGCTTTTCCAACATCTGCCAGGCCTGGAACAGCTCCACAAACAGACAGGCTAACAAACCGAACTGAGAACCTGCTGGACCAACCTATAGTATAAGAAAAAAGATTTTAATTTTCAATATCACAAATGATGAAAGCACATTCCTTCAAGACAATTAATGCTAGTGATGCTGTAATCTTTTGACAAAATTTCAATCGGGCACAATTTAAATTAATAGTTAAATCTTTCTCCATTTCTGTCACGATGGAGTTTTGGTTCCTTGCCCTGTCACCTTTGGCTTGCTTTGTTGGGGATGCTTAATTTCTGGCAATATTGTTGGCTTGATTGATTGCACAGACACTATTGGATGATGACATCAATGAATCATCAATGAACTGACTTTAACTGAAAAAATTACTTTGTTATTGTCCTCTTGTATGATTGACAAACTATTTTCCTGTTTGACACTGTAAAGCTGCTTTGACACAATCTTTATTGTATAAAGTGCTATATAAATAAAGGTGACTTGACTCGACTTTCTTAAAAAAAAAAAATAATATATAAATAAAGGTGACTTGACTCGACTTTCTTAAAAAAAAAAATTAAAAAAATTTAATAATTTACCCAAAACTGAAAATTTAGCCTCCTTAGCATGTCACTCCAAACATCTATAATTTCAGATAAAATATGTTTAGTGGAATATCCAGGTTATTTTATGGCTTCTAAAACCATAGATAGTTTTGTTTGAGGAAAAGTCTAAAATTTAAGTCAATATTCACTGAAAACATTCCCTTCAACGTATGTTTACTTCTTTGTTTGCATACATTTGAAAGCTTCATGTACTCAACACCATATAAAGTAACAAAGGAGGAGAAGAAACTACAGACAAATTTCATTGTTTCTTGCAAGTATTAAAGACCCGGATGTAACTGGGGGAGAGCAGCTCATACCATGCTTTTTGTACCATGCACTCTACCTAAGACCTGCTATAGTGCTTCCAGAGGCGGACAAAGTACACAACTCCTAAAGATTGTTGACAGAGACAGATTTTTATTTAAGTAAAAATACAGAAGTACCAAAAGTAAATGTACTTTTTATTATATTAATGCACTGTTTTATCATTGTTGAATGTAATAATTGCAATACCTTATAACTTACTTACTGTAGTGTAACTTACAATACAGTACACCTACTGAATACACTCACTAGCTTGTAGTATCTTTGGAATAAAGAGCTTTTAGAATGTTAAAAGCCTATGAGGAAAAAAAAAATAATAATAATTATTATTATTTAACACCCCTACCCACCCCCACAAAAGCAGGATGGTAGTGATCTCACACAGCTCTGGACACATCTATGTGTAGCCATTCATCCACATTTGAACAGAGTGGACAGTGAAATTGCTGTAAATACAGACTGATAAGGAAGAAAATAAAAAATCAAACCTGCTTTAAAACCCAGCAACACAACTGTAGCTGTATAACTTTACAACAGCAACACTGCTTTAACAAAAATGCAAAACAGCAAGACTTATTTGACATCAAAACAAACATTTAAAAAAATGCTGTCTAATCGCTCTCGCGGTATTTTGATGTCATACACAGAATGGTCTGCAGTGCTGCTTCAAGTCCAACACCTATTGTGTTTTATTAGGAGATGCACAACAGTTTTTCTGTGGCTTTATAGGTAATATTTTCATGTACACAATTTAGCAAAATCAGACAGTATTGTGTCTAATATATACCACAATATTACTTTATTATTATTGTTGTAAATAAATATCACATTTGGAACTGGTCAGTGCTCAGAAAATGCTGGGAAATCACTTCATGTAGCCCCAAGAATGATTACTGATAAACTGTCTGAAAAAAAGAAAGTCACGTTTTAGAGAAGAAAAAAATCCCACACTGATTTTCAAAGCTGCTAATGACTTTCTACTTCGAGGATCTTGATAGAAATGTAGTGGAGTGAAAAGTACAATATTTGTCTTTCAAATGTAGTGAAGTTAAAGTCATAAGTTCCCAGAAAAAATAATACTCAAGTAAAGTACAGATACTCAAAAAGTGTACTTAAGTACAATACTCAAGTAAATGTACTTAGTTACTGTCCGCCTCTGAGTGCTTCATCTTTTTCTTTTAGCACTAGTCCATAGTATGCAACAAATAATAAGGAGGGACTCCTTCGCAGGTGAGCTTCCACTACTTATTAGCATTATCAAACCAAGGCCAAAGTAGAGCACCCATCCAAAGTATATAAGGATATCCCTACTTCAAGACTCAACAGTAGTTGCGGAGGGAGGTAAACTAAGTAGAGGGAATCTATACTGCCATTCTGCCATCAACCCTTAAGGCCATCCAAAGGGTAAGTGTGTCTCTCCCTATAGAAGCACCCTACCAAAGGGGAGCACATCCCTTCTTCAAGACCCAATACCAGTTGGGAAGGGAGGAAAATGAAACAGAGGGATTCTTGTGGGTCGCTGATCATAGTTCCTTTCACCCTGCTCTACCCTAAGGGGTACTTGAGCAACCTTTTAAAAGGATGTGCTTAAACACCTCAGTTTAACTGGGGGA